CAGTGTCCGGACAATGTTGCCACAAGGAGTCCAATGAAGAAAACCCTCCGTCACCACCGGGAAATAGATGAGCGGAGTCTCCCGCAAATGCTCGGTGGCAAGATTCCTCCATGACCTGTCGATGCCCACGGTCAACACGGCCCACCGCATGTGCGCGTTCCTTCCCCCATCATCACTGTATGCCAAGACCACTTTGTACGCCTTTGAGGCCTCCGCGTACCCCACGCAAATAAACGTAGACATTGCATTTTTCGGGGGCGGAGGGAGTCGCAAGGCTCGTCTCGTCAGAGGGTTGGACAAGTGGAGTTCGGCCAAGGGTTCCCAAAACTTGTAGTCGGGAAAGAGGCCGTTGCAGCTATTCTTTAAAATATATCTGAATTTGTCAGTGTAGTTGTTGTAGTCGGATACCGTGACACGGCCCTGTTTCATAGAGACGAAAATCGGGCGCGGGGAGGAATGCTGACCATTACGGGTTGAAGAAAATCGGAAGAAGAGGCCGTATTCGTTTTGCCGGAGGTGGAGTTTTATGAATTTGTCGGATCGGATAGTGCGGTAGTAGAGGCTCCGGCAGACGAGACCTGCCCTGTAAATGTCTTCAGCACAAAGGTTCAACAAGATCTTGAAGAGCACATCATCGGGAAGTGAAATTAGGGGATTGATTTGGGCTTGTGCTTCAACTTCGTCCGGCGGCTGCCGGGAGACTGATAATGGAAATTCGGCCATTACAATTTCGAATTGGTCCAGAGTAGATCTGGTTGTGCTGCTCCAGAGGCTGCGCACAGTAGATGTTAACCTAGCCGGTGTGCGATTATCGTTTTTTTTTTCACCAAGAAAGCGAGAATTAAGTGTTCGAAGAATTCTTCAACTTTATTTTTTTTTGGTACAAAAAATATTAATTTCTTTATAATCTTATTATATGCAGTCGAAAAAATATATGTGCTTGTTAAGACTTTATGTTTAAAATTTAAAAATAATAGAAAAAAAGTCCGTTTTGAATTTCATATGCTTTATCGAAAATATATATTATTATTTATATTTAAAATACCGCCTACACATACGATTTACTCATTTTATGTTATAATATTTTTTAATTTATATTATATAACTATTTTATAATTAAATTTACTTAAATGATAAATAATTTTATCAATACTTGATATAACTAGCACCGTGCAAAGCTCTGGCTGAAACATAACCCCCATGAACAAGCGTTACCAAGGTTTAGAGGCCGTTGTATTGGGCCCAATAGATGAAACGAGGCGTTAAATTGAAAGTTGTCAGCCGACGCGCAAGGAAAATAAACACACACCACTTTCGAGAGAGCTAATAGCACATTGTCGAAAATTCTGCATCTTGGCTTTGTGTTGTAATCAGACAGGACAGCTGAAACTCCTATACTTGACAAAAATCAGATAAATTAATAAAGCATTAGCTCTAACATGGGATATCTAATATTAACCCAATGGAGCAGATTTATCAGTATAAGGAATACGAACCAGGCCTAATTGTCGTTTCTAGTGTTTTCGCCATATCCAAATGGAACATTATTTTCTGAAAGCCGGCACAGACGAGCATAGT